GCATGCTTGGAACATTCCCTCTTGGAATCCAATCTACTTGGAGAAGCCACATGGAGAACAAACGAGGCCCATCAGTTAACAGCCCCAGCTGAATTCCCAGTCAACAACCAGCTACCTGCCATGACATGAGTAAGTCATCTTGAATATTCCAGCCTTCAGATAACAGCAGCCCTAGCTGTTGGGGGTGCAGAATTGAACATGGGTCTAGTTAATCTACACAGAGTCTTGGGTTGTTTCCATATAGAAGAGATATAAAGCCAAAACATCAGGTGAAAGAGATTATCTAGTTTTATTCCTGACTATGTTACTTCTTTGGGGGGGGGGTTGGGTGGGAACCATATTCCTTTTGTTTGTTCAGAGTAAAAACTTTTAAAAAATGTTCCAGCCTGGACACAGCTATGCTGAAATCCAAAGTACTCATAATTGGGCCTGCATGTTAAAGAGGGTGAGGTGATACCCCTGTATTTAGCCAGAGATTTTCAAGGGAAAGGGGAATTTTGTGGGGTCATGTTTGGGGTTATAAGATCCAAAGGAATTTTCCAAGGAGGTTTTTCCCTTTGTTGCTAACTGAGAAGACCTGGGTTTAATTTTATTAAAGGAAATATCCATTTCCTTACAGAAACGCCATATGATTATCTTTGCTAAGAAATATGTACAAGTTCAACTCCACTAATAAAGGAATGTAAATTAAGATAGTTTGAGATAACATCGTTGCCTCTCTCATTGCAAATATTTATAGTATCCAGTGTTGGCAAAGGGGAAATGAACACTCTTATTTACTGCAAATGTACAACATCACTGAGAGGCATTAATACACTGCACTTCCACTCTTTTTTTTTTTTTTTTTTGAGACAGAGTCTTGCTCTGTCACCCAGGCTGGAGTGCAATGACATGATCTCGGCTCACTGCAAGCTCTGCCTCCCGAGTTCACGCCATTCTCCTGCCTCAGCCTCCCGAGTAGCTGGGACTATAGGCGCACACCGCCATGCCCAGCTAATTTTTTTGTATTTTTAGTAGAGACGAGATTTCACCGTGTTAGCCAGAATGGTCTCGATCTCCTGACCTCATGATCTGCCTGCCTAGGCCTCCAAAAGTGCTGGGATTACACCCGTGAGCCACCGCACCCGGTTGCACTTCCACTCTTAAGGATATATCCCAGGCATAACCAGGTAGCTGAAAGATAAAATTAAAATCATTCTCATTTTATAATTATTTATAATTTCAAAAACTTAGAAACAATCTAAATGTCTAATACACACAAAGAGAAGTTGTACATTCTGGTCCTTCCATACAGTGGGCATTGGAGGTAGTTAATGGACATAGAAAAGTTTCATGACATATTCAATCAAGGGACTCAGCCTGGCCAACATGATGAAACCCCGTCTCTACTAAAAATACAAAAATTAGCCATGGGTAGTGGCACACACCTGTAATCCCAGCTACTTGGGAGGCTGAGGCAGGAGAATCACTTGAATTGGGGAGGCGGATGTTGCAGTGAGCCAAGATTGTGCCACTGTACTCCAGCCTGGGCAACACAGCAAGACTGTCTCTAAATAAATAAAGGGACTCTTCTTCAAGTGATGTGCCCTTGATAATGGGGTACCAAATAGGACCAAAAAATATTTAAAGCAAAAAGAAATTCACTCACTCACTTAAGTCATTCCAGAAAACATTTGTTTAGCATTCTAATGTAGCAGGCATTGCATTAGACATTTAGGTAAAGAAGTAAAAAATTCAGTCCCTGCCTTAAGGACTCAATTCAGTATGTTAAGCCTATGAAAACCTAAAAGACAGACTTTCAAGAGAAGGTGATACCAGACATGAATTTTAAAGAATAACTAGGAATAAGCCAGATGAAAAATTTGGGGAAGGTTATTCCAGGATATGAAGTCTCCAGAATGGTTGAACATTTTAACCTTAGAAGACAACTGAATTCAATATGACTCTTAAATAATTAGGTTGTTCTTCTAGATAGAACTATAGAGCATTAAAAAGGTTGCTCTGTTTATATGTGTTGAAAAATGCATGCTATCACCCCCACTTAGGTTACACTCTTTATTTTTTATTTTATTTATTTATTTTTGAGACAGTCTCCCTCAGTTGCCCAGGCTGGAGTGCAGTGGCGCCATCTCAGCTTACTGCAACCTCCACCTTCCGGGTTCAAGCAAATCTCATGCCTCAGCCTCCCAAGTAGCTGGGATTACAAGTGGGCACCACCATGCCCAGCTAATTTTTTTTTGTATTTTTAGCAGAGATAGGGTTTCATTATGTTGGCCAGGCTGGTCTCGAACTCCTGACCCCAAGTGATCTGCCTGCCTCGGCCTCCCAAAGTGCTGGAATTACAGGGATGAGCCACTGGGCCCAGCCACACTCTCTTTATAGGCACTCTTCCCTCCCCCTGCCACCCCATTAGAGACGAGTCTTGCCGTGCTGCTCAGGGTGGTCTCAAACTCCTGGCCTCAAGCGATCCTCCCACTTCGGCTTCCCAAAGTGCTTGGAACTGTGTAAGTCACCACACCAGCCTATAGGAACTTTTTATGTATAAAGAAGCTGAGTTTGGGTAACTCCGATCCCATGACATTAAATAGTATTGTGATTACTTAAAATCTCAACATAATGTTTTTTACCCTTGCACAAAGGAGAAATGGAACTGACCCTGTGCTCACACAATAGGCTGCAGAAAACAGATCATACTGAATACTTGGTTTTTTTAATGAATGAAAATTATGTGGCTGGGCATGGTGGCTCACACCTGTAATCCCAATACGTTGGGATGCTGAGCCCAGCAGATCACGAGGTCAGGTGTTCGAGACCAGCCTGACCAACATGGCAAAACTCCGAGGTTTCTACTAAAAATACAAAAATTAGCTGGGTGTGGTGGTGGGTTCCTGTAATCCCAGCTACTTGGGAGGCTGAGGCAGGAGAATGGCTTGAACCCTGGAGGCAGAGGTTGCAGTGAGCTGAGATTGCGCCTCTGCACTCCAGCCTAGGAGACAGAGCGAGACTGCGTCTCAAAAAAACAAACAAACAACAACAACAACAAAATCTGTTAGTGTAATGAAGAGCCCATGCCAAAATTATAATTGTTACATGAAAATGGTGAGTGATCACTCTCTCCCCAGCTGGGCCTAGGCCGCCACAGCTGAGAGACAGACACTCATGGCGAACGGGACCGCTCTTCTCATTCTGCCTTCCTTCGGGCCCCCTAGTCTCTCCTCCCCGCCCATGGGAGGTACACGGGAGGCAAGGGTGCAGAATCTGGTCCAACATCTCTGCCCCCGTCCTCTGCCTCATGGCGTCGGTGGGGTGGGGGGGAGTCCTCTGATCCAGTTTATTCATTTATTTTTATTTTTAAAAATGTTGGGGCCAGGCGCGGTGGCTCATCCCTGTAATCCCAGCACTTTGGGAGGCCGAGACGGGCAAATCACCTGAGGTAAGGAGTTTGAGACCAGCCTGGCCAACATGGAGAAGCCCCGCCTCTACTAAAAATACAAAATTAGCCAGGTGTGGTGGCGTATGCCTGTAATCCCAGGACGGAGGCTGAGGCAGGAGAATCGCTTGAACCCAGGAGGTGGAGGTCGCGGTGAGCCGAGATCGCGCCATTGCACTCCAGCCTGGGCAACAAGAGAGAAACTCCGTCCAAGAATAAATAAATAAATAAATAAATAGGCTGGACACAGTGGCTCACACTTGTAATCCCAGCACTTTGGGAGGACAAGGCGGGTGGGTCACCTGAGGTCAAGAGTTCAAGACCAGCCTGGCCAACATGGTGAAACCCCAGCTCTACTAAAAATACAAAAATTAGCAGGGCGTGGTGGCAGATGTCTGTAATCCCAGCTACTAGGGAGTCTGAGGAAGGAGAATTGCTTGAACCTAGTAGGCAGAGGTTGCAGTGAGCCCAGATCTCGCCACTGCATTCCAGCCTGGGCGACAGAGTGAGACTCCAGCTTAAAAAAATAATAATAATAATTTTGTTTTCAAAAAACAGAAAAGGAAAAAAAAAAAGGTGAGTCTGGGAACGGCAAGCAGGTTGTTAATGGGACTTGACTAGAGATGAAGCTAGAGACCAGATGAGGTAGCTGACGCCTGTAATCTAAGCACTTTGAGAGGCTGAGGTGGGCAGATGGCTTGAAGCCAGGACAGCCTGGGCAACATGGCAAAACCCTGTCTAAAAAGAAAAAAGGCCCAGCATAGGGTCACGTGTCTGTAGTCCCAGCTACTGAGTACTCGAGAGGCTGAGGTGGGAGGATGGCTTAAGCCTGGGAAGTCTAGGCTGCAGTGAGCCATGAAGGCGCCACTGCACTCCAGCCTGGGTGACACGAGACCGTGTCTCAAAAAAAAAAGAGAGATGAGGCTAGAGAGGTGGGATGGACCACTGTAAACCTGGCTTTGGACTTTCAGACTGAACTCTACCCTGAAGGCAACCTGCTGCCTTTAGAGGATTTCAATCAATAACATAACAGGATTTCACTGGCCTCTTAAGGAAATCCCGGCAGGTTGGGGTGGCTCACGCCTGTAATCCCAACACTTTGGGGGGCCAAGGCAGGCGGATCACCTGAGGTCGGGAGTTCGAGACCAGCCTGACCAACATGGTGAAATCCCTGCTCTACTAAAAATACAAAACTTGTATTTTTAGATACACTATCTTTAGTGAGGAGCTGTGTATAAGTATTATTTAACTGTTAAGCAAATACTTGAAACATATTTGGAAGATTCATGTTGCTGTGTGTGGCACATCATCCTACGAAACTGGTGTGACACAGTCCTAGAGAAGTATATGGTTGCCTTTGTCATACATGCAGCCAGCCTCAAATATAGAAAATGACATCTTGAAGCTGTAATTCCCCAATTCTGTGGGTCTTAATCTTGAGTCATTAGATTCACCTGGAACCTTAAGCATCACCTGATAGAGTTTATAAATGCTAATACCTGATAGGTGCAGCACCAACATAATACGCATGGAGGTCTTGGAATCATTTACCAAGAAGGTCCTGAGCACAGAAGTTGGTGAGATGGCAAAGCAATATATGGAGAAAATCCTTTTGGTTCCAGACCATGTGATCACACACCTAATGATGTCCGAGCTGGAGAATAGGCGTGGCCAGCACTGGCTCCTCGATGGTTTTCCTAGGACATTAGGACAAGCTGAAGCCCTGGACAAAATCTGTGAAGTGGATCTAGTGATCAGTTTGAACATTTCATTTGAAACACTTAAAGATCATCTCAGCCACCATTGGATTCACCCTCCTAGCGGAAGGGTATATAACCTGGACTTCAATCCATCTCATGTATATGGTATTGATGATGTCACTGGTGAACCATCAGTCCAGCAGGAGGATGATAAACCTGAAGCAGTTGCTGCCAGGCTAAGACAGTACAAAGACATGGCAAAGCCAGTCATTGAATTACACAAAAGCCGAGGAGTGTTCCACCAATATTCTTCTGGGACGGAGACAAACAAAATCTGGCCCTGTGTTTACGCACTTTTCTCGAACAAGATCACACCTATTCAGTCCAAAGACGCATATCGACCCTGCCCAGTGGAAGAACCGGGAAGATGTGGTTGTCCATTCAATTGTGTGTGCAGTATTGATGCTGTGTCCAAATTAGAAGCTAGCTGAGGTAGCTTGCAGCATCTTTTCTAGTTGAAATGGCAAACTGATAGGAAAACAAATGAGTAGAAAGAGTTCACGAAGAGGCTCTCCTCTGCCTTTCAAAAGGAAGGTCACCTACACATGTTTAAGGTGTCTCTGCACATGTCTCAAGCCCTTCACAAGAAAGCAAGTACAGTGTGGGAATCCTCAAAAAGCATGGGAAGTCTAAGTATTTAGCTACATAAATGTTGTAAGATCATATCTTATGTATAGAAGTAATAAGATCATTGGAATTACTGGACAAATTGAATAGTTAAGGTTTCTATTCAGGACAATAAAGTGTATTTTGAAAGTGTTGCTAACTATTGATGCTGACAGGGTCTCACTCCTATGAGTGACCCAAACGTATTATAAATAGGTGGTAAAGGGAATGCAGCCGGTGGGGTTGAGCAGAATGTTATACTAGCTGTGCCTGGACTGAGTATAACAGCTTTATGATTATGGGAAAACAAAATCTTTATTTTTTTTCTGTTCCAAAGATTCATCCTATGGGGTGGCCATAAAGTATAGAATTAGACACGAATATTTTGTCATTCATTATAACATAATATCAATAAACCATTTGTTAAAATAAAAAAATAAATAAATAAATGCTAATACCCAAGTCGATCACATCAGAATTTCAACTGGGACCCAGACAGATATCAGATATCAGTGTTTTTTTTGTTTTTGTTTTTTTCAAATATAGCTTTCTAGGTAATTCTTTTTTTTTTTTTTTTTTTTTGAGACGGAGTCTTGCTCAGCTGCCCAAGCTAGAGTGCAGTAGTATGATCTCGGCTCACTGCAACCACCGTCTCCCAGATTCAAGCGATTCTCCCATCTCAGCCTCTGAGTAGCTGGGATTACAGGAACCCACCATCACGCCTAGTTAATGCTTGTATTTTAATAGAAACAGGGTTTCACCATGTTGGCCAGGTTCGTCTTGAACTCCTGACCTCAGGTGATCCGCCCACCTCAGCCGCCCAAAGTGCTAAGATTACAGGTGCGAGCCACTGCACCCAGCCAAAGTTTATTTCTAAATCAAAATGTGGTTAGTAGGCTGGGCACGGTGCTCACATTTGTAATCCCAGCATTTTGGGAGGCCAATATAGGTGGATCCCTTGAGGCCAGGAGTTCAAGACCAGCCTGGCCAACATGGTGAAACCTTGTCGCTACAAAAAATCCAAAAAATAGCTGGGGCTGGGGGCAGTGGCTTACGCCTGTAATCCCAGCACTTTGGCAGGCAGAGGTGGACGGATCCACCTGAGGTCAGGAATTTGAGACCAGCCTGGCAAACATGGTAAAACCTCATCTCTACTAAAAATGCAAAAATTAGCCAGGTATGGCCGCACGTGCCTGTAATCCCAGCTACTCGGCAGGCTGAGGCAGGAGAATCACTCAAACCGGGGAGGCGGAGGTTGCAGTGAGGCAAGATCAGGCTGCTGCACTCCAGCCTGGGCAACAGAGTAAGACTCTGTCTCAAAAAAATAAATACATAAAATAAAATAGAATAAAATAAAATTATCCAGGCATGCTGGCGCACCCTGGTAATCCCAGCTACTCATGAGGCTGAGACACAAGAATCACTAGAAGCCAGGAGGCGGAGGCTGCAGTGAGCTGAAATCTCGCCACTGCACCTCAGCCTGGGTGACACAGCAAGACTCTGCAAAAAAAAAAAAAAAAAAGAAAAAAGGTGTGGTTAGTAAACAAGAAATTATCATTTAGGAAAATGTACTCTAATTTCCAGAATCTAAATGAGATTAATGGAAGTTCCATGATCAGCAACTACAGAAAAAATTATATTATGTTGTACAGTAAAATGAGAAGGTCTTTATTCGTCTGCTAAATTAAACCTTTTAAAATAGGTTGTTAGATCATTTTACTTAGTGTTTAAGCTTTACAAAACATATATTTAACTTATGTCATTTTAACTAGTTGAGAAAAATCTGATGCAGAAAGTAACACATAGCAGTACTGATCTAGTTTTAGTTCCATGAGTCATAATCGTAGAAGCTCGGAAGACGAAAAAAAGAGAGAGAGAGAGAGAGAGAAAATCTATTGAATTGAGGCCCTGGAAAAATGAGGTAAGACTAACTTAAATGCAAACAAGTTTGGTAAGCCACCTCCAGACTATAGTACACGTTTATTACATTCAGCCTTTGTGTTGTGTTCTTTACAGATGGATGAGAATTAAGAAAAGAATATAGGCTGGGCGCGGTGGCTCACGCCTGTAATCCCAGCACTTCCGGGGGCCGAGGAAGGCAGATCACCTGAGGTCAGGAGTTCGAGATCAGCCTGACCAATATGATGAAACCCCGTCTCTACTAAAAATACAAAAATTAGCCAAGCGTGGTGGCATGTGCCTGTAATCCCAGCTACTTGGGAGGCTGAGACAGAAGAATCCCTTGAACCTGGGAGGCAGAAGTTGCAGTGAACCGAGATCGCGCCATTGCACTCCAGCCTGGGCAACAAGAGCAAAACTCTGTCTCAAAAAAAAAAAAAAAAAAAAAAAAAATGTAATTTTCCTCTTTTTCTAATTCTCCCTCAGCCATTATTAACCAATAACCAAGGTGGTAGCATACAAGGTGAACAGAACAATTGAGCATGATATTACTGTTCTTTTCCTTTTTTTTTTTTTTTTTTTAAGTTCCCAAACATTTGACTGTTAAATATTTGGAAACCAAAGTGAATTCACTTTTTTTTTGGTACTGCTAATTTAATTTGGAATTGTGATAATTCAGCAAGCTAGGTAAATATTAACCTTGCAATAGGAAGAATGAAAGAAGACCGCAGCCATATCCCCTAAGGTTTCAATTCCACATGCAGAGATGAGTGCAACTGTCTGGCTGGTGTGAAGAACAGATGGTGACCAGGCAAGAATAAAAGCAAAGAGACCGTTTAAGACAACACTTAAATAGTCTAAGCAAGGTGGAGGCTGAAAAGAAAAAGAAAAGGATTCAAGATATATTTTGTCGAGCGCTGTGGCTCACACCTGTAATCTCAGCAATTTGGGAGGCAGAGGTGGGCGGATCGCTTGAACTCACAAGTTCAAGACCAGCCTGGGCAACATGGTGAAGCCCCCGTCTCTACAAAAAAAAATACAAAAATTAGCCGGGCATGATGGTGCCAGCCGGTAGTCCCAGCTACTCAGGAGGCTAAGGTGGGAGAATCACCTGAACCCAGGAGGTCGAGGCTGAAGTCAGCCAAGATGGTGACACTGCACTCAAGGCTGGGCAACAGAGTGAAAACCTGTCTCAAAAAAAAAAAAAAAAAGAAAGAAAAGAGCACCAATGGGATCTGTTACTGTATTGGACATGAGGGAGTGAGGAAGAGTGAAAAGGGAGGAACAAAAGATAGCTTCTAGGTTTTTGACTTGAGCAAGTGGGGAGAATACACCAGTGACTGAGGTGTTCCTGACGGGAGTTGAGCTAGAAGAGGACAAGCAGTGAAATCAAGGAGCAGCTTCACTTGCTTGCCACTGACCAGGCTCTGGAAGGCATTTTAAATTTCTTTTTCTCTGTGTTAGATGGTAAAGAGGAGACTCAAGACCAAGCCTGGGGCTCTTTGAAAGGTAAATAGGGGTGCTCAGAGGAGAAGGAACTAGGAGATTGAGAAAAGAGGGGCCAATGTGGTAGACAGAAAATAGGAATGTGAAGTTAGGGAAGCCAAGGAGGAAAGTGATCAGGATGTGATTGTGCTTACTCATGCCCCTGGTGAGTATGATAATTGCTAATGGAAACTTATGAGACATATCTGTACTGGTGACTGCACCTGGGAAAGAGCATGTATTTGTGCTACAGCGACATTCACATGCTCAGTTTTCCCCTCCACCTTTCCCCACAAAATGTTCGTTATATGTCAGGAAACTGATGACGGCACATTTGTTATTTCCCTTAACTATATTTCTTACCTCTGCTTTAAATAATATTGAGAGATCTTACATAATTGCAAAAGCAATGCATGTTAATGAAGGAAGTTTGGGAAATGTAGAAAAGCTCAAAAATGAAAGAAAAAAAACACACCCAAGGGGCCGGGCACGTTGGCTCATGCCTGTAATCCCAGCACGTTGGGAGGCAGACACAGGCAGATCATGAGGTCAGGAGTTTGAGACCAGCCTGACCAACATGGTAAAACCCCATCTCTAAAAAAATAAATAAATAAATAAATAAATACAAATATTAGCTGGTTGCAGTGGTGCGTGCCTGTAATTCCTGCTACTCGGGAGGCTGAGGCAGGAGAATCACTTAAACTTGGCAAGTGGAGGTTGCAGTGAGCCGAGATGGCACCACTGCACTCCAGCCTGGGCAACAGAGTTGAGATTATGCACAACTTACTGTACCCTGCTTTTTTTTCATGTAAAAATATATCATTAACATTTTCCATGTCACTTGTGGGATTTGGGGTTTTTTTTGTTTTTGTTTTGTTTTGTTTTGTTTTTTGAGATGGACTCTTGCTCTGTCACTCAGGCTGAAGTGCAGTGGTGCAGTCTTGGCTCACTGCAACCTTCGCCTCGTAGGTTCAAGTGATTCTTCAGCCTCAGCCTCCTGAGTAGCTGGGACTACAGGCACCCACCACCACACCCAGCTAATTTTTGAATTTTTAGTAGAGACGGGGTTTCGCCATATTGGCCAGGCTGGTCTCGAACTCTTGACCTCAAGTGATCCACTTGCCTTGGACTCTCAAAATGCTAAGATTATTATAGGCGTGAGATACTGTGTCCAGCCACTTGCGTTCAAATATTAATTGTATATAACTGCAAATAACTATATTAATATATGACTAAACCATAATAAATCAATTTAAGCAATCTTCTATTATTTAAATTCAAGTTTTTTCCTGACGTTTTGCTATTATAAACATCATGAAATTGTGTACTAGTTACCAGCATAGGCTTTAGCACCTAACACATCTGGTGCTACTACCATGACTTACTGGCTGTGTATTTATGAGAAATTATTGAACAAATTATTGAAGTTTCAGTTTCCTCA